TGGGGTTTTTTATGGGATTTATTTTATATCTGGTTTGTGTCTTTTTCTGGCTACTACAGAAAGGTCACTGGATTCTGACAGTATTGTAATATCCTAAACAGAGTACCAAGAATGTGAAATTGTGCTCTTTGCTGGACGAGTGGCTGACCCTTGGTTATTTCTATTGATGATAGAGACATGCTAGAATTTCAGTATATTTTCCACTCTCTTCCTTGATTTTTTTTTTTTTTTAGAGTTCCCAGAGGGCCTTAGTTACCTACAATAGCCAACTTCAGAAAGAGTCTGAGTAGCTGAAGACTTCCTTTGCTCAAAATCAGTGCAGATTGGTGTTATGCAGCCATGCGTATCGGCAGGCTTGCCTTCTGCTTTGGCACTGGGATGTGGCTGGCAGAAGAGCTGGTTGTGTAAGTTTTGGAGAAGTGGAGAGTCCACTTGTGCCAGCAGTGACTGAATGCCTTGTGCAGGCAGCGTTGCTGTGTTGGCTAACAGCATGAGCTATTTTGTCAAAGAGGCACTATTGTTAGACAGGACACTTTTCCTCTTTGCCATGGGGAGCAATGTAGTCTGTAGCTGTTGAAGGGACTGACTGCCTTTGGCATGTTTGGTCTGTTTTATTGTTTCATTAGTCAAGTTGTCATCTTACTCGAAACCAGACCACTCCCATAAAGGCTGCTATAACCACCTTCCCCCAAAGATGTCCAGTCAATGTGTTTTTACTTAGCACTGTTGATTTAATTAGGGAGGTGATTCTTCTCCTCTACGCTGGGGAGACTGTACCTGGAGTACTGCGTCTAGCTCTGGAGCCCCCAACGTAGGAAAGACATGGACCTGTTGGAGCAGGTCCAGATGAGGCCACGAAGATGATCCGAGGGCTGGAGCACCTCTGCTGTGAGGACAGGCTGAGAGAGTTGGGGTGGTTCAGCCTGGAGAAGAGAAGGCTCTGGGGAGACCTTATAGCAGCCTTCCAGTACCTGAAGGGGACCTACAGGAGAGTTGGGGAAGGACTTTTTACTAGGGCTTGTAGTGATAGGACGAAGAGGAATGGCTTTAAACTGGAAGAGGGTAAATTTAGATTAGATATCAGGAAGAAATTTTTCACTTTAAGGGTGGTGAGGCCCTAGAACAGGTTGCCCAGAGAAGCTGTGGGTGCCCCATCCTTGGAGGTGTTCAAGGCCAAGTTGGATGGGACTTTGAGCAATGTGGTCTAGCAGGAGGTGCCCCGCCCATGGCTTGGGGGTTGGAACTCAATGACCTTCAAGGTCCCTTCCAACCCAAACCATTCTATGATTCTAAGATTTTTTTGTTTCCATCCTTCTTTCCTTGGTTGGAAGGATGTGCCAGGTGGCATCTTCTGTTTGTCTTCTGAATTCTTGCCAAAATAAGGTTGCCACTTACTTGTTAGAGATCTAGGATAAAAATACCATCTTTGCACACTGTATAGGAGGTGGTTTGTGATGGCCCATGCTGCCTCTGAACACTAGGAGAATGTTGTCTCCTTCTCAGGTGAGCTTTGGTCCAGCTGGATGTGCAAGAGCACGGTTAACCACACAATGCTCATGCTCAAGCTTGAGAAGACTTTCATCCAAGACTTGGTCATTATGGAGTTTTAAGCTACAGATAATTGATGTGAGTTGGGTCTGAAATTGAGAAAACTCTGTAAAAAGCAGAGGGGAGGTAAGAGGTATTTTGGGTAGCCTGTCTTGCTGAGGTGTTCTGCTGGACCTTCTACCAGTTGGTTTTTGAAAGTTTTGACCAGCTTATATTACTGCAGTCCAACTTATTGCTAACTGACATCTGTTCTTGAGTAAAGATTTTAAGTGAGAACTTGAAGCATTCAGAAGTATAATTCAGAAGCATTCGGAACTACTTCAAGCATTCGGAACTACTTCAAGCATTCGGAAGTATAATCTGTGAACTGGCATGTCTCCTAATTATTATTATTATGAGGAGTTGTGATTCCTTAAAAACATTTTCTGTCAGCACAGAACGCTGTTTTTGCTTGGTTAATGTTATACTTGAAGACCTTTCAGAGGCTTATTAAATCTGGACTGTTTAGGCAGTAGGATGGTTTCTTGCCCATCACACTGTGGTCCTAATCACTTGGATGGGTTCTTCTACAACTACTTGCTAATGTTGAAAAGCAAAACCGGAAAGTGTTCCTCTTGAGGACCAAGTAGTAGAGAGATGTGGAGCTGCTTCCTGTTGCTGTGTCATCACATGAGCAAACGTACGGGATGAAACTGTCTTGACATTCCCCATGACCTCTCTCACTTTTCAAGTGAGCGAACAGAGTTTAGATCTGTTTTGTATACATATCCATGAGAATGAGGGTGGTATTGAGTATCACTGACAAATACAAGAGGATATTCAGCACCTAAATCTCAAAAATAAAAACTGATATTCCTTTGCTGCTATTTATCTTTGGAACACAGACTCATGGATGATGACTGGGAAGTTCTCAAGATCCTCCTTCAGTTGTTGGTGTGACTGAGGTGCTTTACACTCTGGAAAGGTGACCATAATTGACATCTTGTGCATTTCAAGCACAAACGTAGAATGTTATCCCAAGGAAATAAAGAAGCTTTCAAAATAAATTAGTTCATGTTGACATAGTGTGGCTATGATTACCTACTACTTCTGTGGAAAAAGGACCAGGTGTTTGGCAATTTGAGTTGTAGTCTGCAATGCTGTAAGCATTTACCATGACTGACACTGTGTTCTGATCCATTTTCCATGTTTAACTTTATAGTCTGCATATTGAAATATAATACCTGCTAATGTGCATCATCATGAGAAAAATATGTAACATGGTTATTTCTTACGTTTTTATGCATTTGTAGGTTTTCAAAATGGTTGGGTTGAGTTGGTTGGGAGATGACATTTTTATTTCCAGACTGTATGTGATGAATAGCAGTTGTCTTTATGATCTGTGGCTGCCAGAATTTCCTATCTGTTGGGCAATATTTCATGTCAACCACTCAGAAAACAATTTAGTGCAGAAGCAAGAGAGAACTACTATGCTTGCTGCAGGCAGTAATGGGGAAATATGATGCTTTGAAGCAAGCTTAGAGAATATGTTTGGGAAAAATAAATATATACAGTACAAAAAGTGTATGTTAGGAGTTCCAGAGTGTGTATGATAAACAGATAACTCTGGTGGTGACTTCTGTTCATAATGAAGGAAACACATTTTCTTTCTTAAAGAAAAAAAAGCAAAACTAAGTCTTCATGGTTTATATTTGACTGGCTCCTTTATTAATGGCTGTATTCAGAAAATAGTTTGCCAGACAGATCATTCTAGCTTCTCTTGCATTCACGGCACCATCATGTAGTTCTGTGTTCTTACCAAGGGTTGTCTGACTTCATCTATACGCAGCAGAGGGATAAGGGCTATGTTGCAACATGCGTGCAGCAGTGCTTTTGATCAAAACTGTCAACAGATCAGAATTATACATTGATTTAATGGAGCTATAAGTTGAATACCAGGAAAAAAATACTTTCTCTCATTTGATTCCTTAATTTGTGAATTTAATTGTTGGATATTATCATGCACTGATACAATTAGAATCATAGAATGGTTTGGGTTGGAAGGGACCTTAAAGATCATCCAGTTCCAACCCCCCTGCCACGGGCAGGGACGCCTCCCACTAGACCAGGTTGCTCAAAGCCCCATCCAGCCTGGCCTTGAACACCTCCAGGGATGGGGTGGCCACAGCTTCTCTGGGCAACCTGTTCCACTGCTTCACCACCCTCAGAGTGAAAATTTTCTTCCTAATAGCTAATCTAAATTTACCCTCTTCCAGTTTGAAGTCATTCCCTCTTGTCCTATCGCTACATGCCCTTGTAAAAAGTCCTACTCCAGCTTTCTTGTAGGCGCCCTTCAGATACTGGAAAGCTGCTGCAAGGTCTCCCCGGAGCCTTCTCTTCTCCAGGCTGAACAACTCCAACTCTCTCAGTCTGTCCTCACAGCAAAGGTGCCTGGGAAAAAAATTCTACAGCCGTTTAGGATTTCTGTCTGTTAACCCTGTTGTGCTCTCGTCTTTGTGTGTGTTTGTTGTGATCTGCAGAAGTGAGGGAGGTTTCGGTCAGAACAGTGTTACATTTAGTAGTGCCTGGGTGTCCTGACTGGGTTTGAGTGAGAGGGAAGAGTATTTGATTGCTGCAGGCTTGTGGAAATTTCTGGCATAAACAGAATTTCTTGATGAACAAATGAGTTTTTATTGCCAAACAAGCCTTAAGCTGTCAGTAAGCAGCTCTCATGGATCTTGTGCGACATATGGACAAGTATGTAAATACATTGCTATGCTCCTCTGAGTAAACTTAATTATATCAAAATTAATGCTCACTTGTTTATTCTTCTTCATACAAAACCACATGAGTCTGAAGGAAGATGCCTTTTACATATCTGTGCAAATTAAGTTGTATGATATTGTCAATCATACACCTTCTGGCTGTATTACATTTCTTGGATCAAGCCTGCAAAAATACCGCGTGTGCAGCAGTTTGTTGCAGATATAGTAGCAGACACAAGTATGAGAATTAAGAAAGCATTGCATGTACATACCGTACATAGACAATTTGAACCTTTCTCTCTCCTTGGCCCCAAATACGTATTGAGTAACAAATGCTTTCCCTGTGGGCAGTGGTTCATAATTGGTAAATCTTGGGGTGGGACTTGGCAGTGCAGGGGGGAAAAAACCACTGCCAGCAATTCCTTCTACCACACGTGCACAAAACCCACCCACTGCCACCAAAATATGACCCAGTGTCATATTCCTAAATTAACGCTATTCTAATAGGTGGCTGTCCAGTTTTTTTCCTCTCTCCAGAATGTTTGGGAACGCTACAACTCACAAATGAGTGTTGCTGTAAGGGAAACACTTGTTCTTAGCATTTGTTGTTACGTCTTCCTTTTTGTACATGCGTGGCTTTCAAGTCGTATTTCCATGCCTAAGTTGCATTCACTGTGGTGTTTTGTTTTTTTGTTTTTTTTTTTTTAGTGGACTATATCGTGGAATATGACTATGATGCAGTACATGATGATGAGTTAACGATCAGAGTTGGGGAAATCATCAGGAATGTGAAAAAACTGGAAGAAGAAGGATGGTTAGAAGGGGAGCTAAATGGCAAAAGGGGCATGTTCCCTGACAATTTTGTGAAGGTGAGTTTTGTGCATTGACTTGGTTTTATTGTGATCGTACAGCAGGCTAGTTATTACTGATATGGTTAAAGTTACACATCAGTTGTATTTATAACAAGATGATGTCTTTTAACTGGAAGACCTTTTAGCTGATTGCATTTATTTATTTTTTTTTAGTATGCTTTTGAAGACATGTTTTGTTTAAATTCTGCTGTCTGTTCTTATTTCCTTTAGCATTCCGCTTGGTCTGTACCCTTGCACTCTGTTCTGTCTCCTTCCTACTGCTACAGTGCACTGACAGTTGTCTGTAGCCGTGGTGACCTGCTTAAGTGAGATGAACTGATCAAAAAAAAAAAACAACCCCAAAACCACAAAAAACCCCAAACCTACCCCTACAGAAGACATCAAGTCACGAGAGAGTTGGGAAAGTGGGGTCACAGCTCAGTCAGCTCAGCTATAATGAGAAACTATATCCTCAGGCTGTGGTTGTGTGGGTGCTTCAGCCTGGAATTAAGCTGCTTTGTTTGAAGCAGCGATTCAGCCCTACTCTGGGCTCCCCGCTGCCGGCACTGCCTCTTTCGTGACCCTGCAAAGGGACAGGGCAGGGAATGTGTCCAGCTGAAAGGTAACTGTGAAGTCAGGTTGGCTCTCAGCTTGTTTGGTTTCCTGACTGGGCTCCCCATTTGTCAGCAGCAAATATGCGAAACGGGAAGGGTGTAAGTGTTCCACTGGCTGCAGTGTTGTGTCTTTGGATTAGTCATCATTTCTCTGACTACGGTCCTCTTGTCTGGGCGCTCTGTCTCGCTCAGTGCTGTGCGACTGACTTGCGGTAGTTGACTTCTGCTGTGAGATGCTGCTTCTCAAACTTTTTGTTTAACCTTTTATACTCATTCTGTGTTTGTGTCGTAATTTTCATTGAAGTTCGTGTTTGCACCTTCCACGTTTTCCTGTTTTCTCTGCAAAATTTCTGAATGTAATACGGAGTATGCACTTCTTCATTAGTTACTTACAATGAAGAAGCCTGCAAAACAGCTAGGTGTGCTGTTTCATGTATAGCTTCTGAAATTCAGAGTCTGCTGAGCTGCAGATATTTTCTCATCTGAACTACACATGTGTTACAGAGATGTTTTGCTTTGCTTCTTTATGCTTTCTAACCTTATTAGTAACTTCCAAGGTTTCCTTAGTGTAACTACTGTAAAGTATAATCAAAGAGAATTTAGATATTCCTGTCTCTTCTGAAGTGAAATTAATTCTTTGCAAACCAGAATTATCTAATTAGAGAGCATCTGTCGTTTATTTAGTGGCCAGCCCAGCCCAAACCACGACAGTATCTTACTGTAATATTTTCATATTGTTAAACCGAAGGGGAAATTTGTCCAGTGCTATAAACACATCTTTACACTTGCTTACATAAAATTTGACGATTTTTCTGTTCTACTTATTGAAAAAGCAAAATTGCTCATTTTTGAATTACTGCAGAGGGATTTAAGTATCTACATGTTAAAACTGATGGGAATCATCCAGTTGCTCTCAGAGAGGATCTTTTACCAAGGAAAAGTTTGAAGGAATGCCTTTCACTTGTCTAATATTTTTAAGTTGTTTGTACTTTAGTTCAATATCCATTTAGAGTCCTGTATAAATAGTAACTTAATTTTACCTTAAGTGGTGTTTTGATGATTACTGTGTGATGGTGTACTTAATTAGCGCTTGAGTGCCGTATAGGAAAAAAGCATCAGACATGGCTCTTCTCTGGTTCTTGTGTCATCAAGACCGTCATTCTGTTGAACAGCAAAGAGGGGGCGGATGTGGCTTGTTTCTGTGTTAAAAACTAAATTTGTTGGGTGTTTTCTTGCCCTTCTGCAGCTGTGGCTTTTATAAACTTTGTTCTAAATTACCTCCATCCTGAAAACTCTTCATGCATCTCAGCTCCAGGTATTGTTAGCTATACAGCTGTACAGCAGGTACGTGGCACAGTCAGATATCCCGAATTATAGGGGACAGTCGGTTTTCTAGAAGGCGTAGGGATTTGGAAAAGTGGAAATAAAGTTGTGTAGAAGAAAATTATCTCTTTGCTTTCATGGCCCAGGCGATAACTTGCCTTCTTGGTGTTGGAGTTGAGTGCAGTTATGAGGCTGATCTTGGGAACTTTTAAGACAGTATGCATAGGCTGGAAGACTATTGTGTGGTGATGAGATGGTGCAAAAGTGTTAATTGTTAGGGGAACTGAAAGTCATGATTTTGTTCATGGCTGATTTGATTATAGTTTCTTCTTAAAAGTTAATTTACAGGTAGTGATAGTTTGAGAGACTGTTTCTGGGAAAGCTGTTGCAGAAAAGTTCTCACCTACTGCTGCAGTAGGCTGTTGTGAAACGCTACTATGACCGGACCGCTGCAGATACCAAGCCTCAACAGGAAAACTCAAATGCTCCAGCTTGGCCTGGTGCAATGTTAACACCTGCAAGGTGTGGGCGCACTGCAGCAGGGAGGTGGAAACAAGCTGAAGCAGGGTTGTACTTTGGCCTTGTGAACAAGGAAGGTCCCTTGAGAAATGGATTTACTGATCTGCTGCCTCGCCCAGTAGCTCACCGCCACCAGGTTCTGGTGGCCTCTGTCTCCTCTGAGCTTTGTGTGGGAAGGGATGTCTTACTGCTTTAAGCAGAAGCCTCCCTACAGCTCCTGCAAGGGGGTGTGGGGTTGAGAGTAGAGAAGTGTAGGAAGTTGATTGGGAGGGGTAATGACAAGAAGGATGCTGAAGAGGGACAAGTATTCCTGAGTTCTGATGACCCACACCAAGGGAAAAGGAGGTTGGAGGTCTGAACGATGCAGTGAGGAGGACACTAGACTGGGCGGGCTGAGGGAGCATGGGGTGGACCTCCCAGGTGAGGTCACTAGAAATGTGACCTGAGAGAACAAATTGGTGGGGGCAGGACCAAAGGTGCACCAAGTTTTACATGTTTGGCTGCAGAATTTTGGGACCGTTCTTGAATATTTATTCCTTCCTGAAAGGATCTTCTTATTCTCCTGTTATGAGTGTAATTTCATGCATTAGATGAGGATCTGGCTTGAACTCATTATATGGATACTTTTTTTTTTTTTTTGGTGATATATATACTGGTTTGTTAAGCATGAACCGAGGCCAGGTTATAAACTCTCCGTGAGGAATTTGGATGGTAAATCATAATCTGTGCTGATCTGAAAAAGATTAGCAATTGAAACTGAAAGTGCACGTGCTATCCACTGGATTTGCCTAGCCTCTTCATATATAAAATATTTAAAAACATAATAATTATATGACAGATTAAACTGGGTGAATATGGACATGTTTTCTTTTTCAAATGTTAGATGTTTTTAGGGAAGATGAGTTCCCTAAAAGAAGCCTTTGATTTTCATCAGACAACTGCAGGAGAATTGAGGGGGCAGGTACTAATTCCAGCTAGTTTGCTTTTTGCTCATTTTATTAGTTTGCCTCTTCTTTATTGTGTCCAAGGGCAGGAAAAGGGCTTGTTGCCTTGGCGGCACCTGCAAAAGTCCTTGGCTGCTTGACAGTGTGCGGTTGCTTCTTGCCTGTTTGAAAGATGACCAAAATGTTGACAGGAGGATTACAGCTGCATGCTGCCTGGATGTGTTGGTTGCCCCAGATGCAGACTGTATCATCACCACTAAAGCAGATCAGTCCCCTTCTATTCCCTCCTTCTGGGCACCACTAATACATAGGATTTACTGACGTTTAACACAACTCTTCATGCTTTGACCAATGTATCTTTTCTGTTTGAAGTATGACCAAGTGTTGTCAACTTCATTTTGAGTTGTTAAAGTTGTGCAGGAAGAGCTTTTTGATTATGTTAGTATTCAAGGACGACCTCCTCCAAGCTCAGGAGTGATGCATCCCTACAAAGAGGAAGGCAGACAGAAAAGCCAGGAGGCCTGCGTGGATGAACAAGGAGCTCCTGGACGTGACCAAAAGGAAAAGGGAGGTCTATAGGGAGTGGAAACAGGGGCGGGTAGCCTGGGAGGAATACAGAGGAATCATTCGAGTAGCCAGGGATCGGGTTAGACAAGCTGAAGCGCAGATAGAACTAAATCTGGCCAGGGGCATTAAGACAAACAAAAAATCCTTCTTTAAGTATGTCAGCGAGAAAAGAAAGACTAGGGAAAACGTGGGCACTCTACGGAAGGAAACTCAAGAGCTGGTTACCCGGGACAGAGACAGAGCTGAGGTCCTCAATGACTTTTTTTTTGCCTCAGTCTTCACTGGCAAGGACTGCAGCCGCACTGCCCATGATACAGAATGCAAAGGCGAGAATTGGGAAAATGAAGAACCGCCCACTGTAGGTGAAGATCAAGTCCGAGACCACCTGAGGAACCTGAAGGTTCACAAGTCCACGGGACCTGATGAGATACATCCATGGGTCCTGAGGGAACTCGCAGATGAAGTTGCTAAGCCACTAGGCATCATATTTGAGAAGTCGTGCCGGTCTGGTGAGGTTCCTTTCGACTGGAAAAGGGGAAACATAACCCCTATTTTGAAAAAGGGAAAGAAGGAAGACCCGGGGAACTACAGGCCAGTCAGTCTCACCTCTGTGCATGGCAAGATCATGGAGC